CCATTCGGTCGCGGCTGGCTCGGTAGCGTAGTAGTCCTCGCGCTGACGGTCGTGGTCGGTGTGGTTGCTTGCGCCCAGGGTTTTGAATACGGAGGCGCGGTTGCCGGTCCAGTCTTTCATAATAGGTGGGTCAATGTTTACCAATCTTCTTCAATCGTCTCAGTTTCTTCACGCGCTTCAACGGCTTGCCCGATGACTCGCTGCCTGGCAAATGCACGATGTCGATGGCGCGGCGGCGGTAGCCATCCGGCCCGATGAAAGTATCGACAAACAGGGCTTGGTTCTCATCGGTCACGCGGCCGTTGATGAAGTCCATGACGCTGCGGCGGACGTCGGCCATGAAGTCGAACTGCTCCTTGAGCGTGGCTGTGCGTCCGCAACGGTTGAACAACCTGAGCTTCACCCACTCGTTGTCGATATAGATGATGTATTGATTATGTTTCATATTATTCTTCAAACGTAATCTTCACCTCCGGCGCACGAGGGTCTTCAATCCGATAAGTGCCGTAGCATTCTTGGTCAGGTAGGTTGCGGAACTGCTCGGCCTGTTCTGGTGGCAGCTTGGCGAGAATGTTCAGTGCCGTCTGATGAGCTTCGCGCAGAACATCGCTCTCTTCGAGGTGATGAAAGTAGGCGTTGGCTATCACATCGTCAATCCAGAGTCTCGCCAATGCCTCGCTATTCTGCCGAGTGGCGTAAAGCACTCCGTCGAGACGGACGAAAATGACTTTTGGGGCAGGGAGGTGAATCATAGGTCAATAGGAACTTCTGGCAATGGCATCCAATGCGTGACTTCGCCCGATGAACAAGGAATATCATCGACAAGGCTACCGTCTTCGCTACACCATTCGCCAATGGGATAATAAGAGTAGATGCCGTAGTGTATCTGCCTATCGCGGGTCAATAACAGCAGTTGTTTGGAACGCTTCTCATCGTCAATGCGCAGGCACTCGGGCATCGTGTCTTCGCTGACGGGAATCCAGCCAAGACAGTCTTTTTCTGCTTTATGCGATGGGCGGTCCTTTCTCATTCGTTCAATCACCTCCTGCGGAACACCCTGCCCAGAAACAGGAATCTCTACACGCTCGTCAAATGGGCGTTCCCATAGATGCAGCTTGCTTCCTGCGGCTACAAGACGCCAGCCTTGAGCAGCCTTTTTGTTCATCATGTCCTCAAGCGCGAACACATTGAACTGGTCGCTATCGAGGTCTAATTTGCAAATACTGTATTCGTATCTCTGTGCCATACTCCGTTACTCAAAAATAGTTACACGTACTGTCGGGTCTTTCTCTGTCGGATCGCAAACCTCCCATGTGTGGCCATGCGATTCCGATTGAGGAGCATACCTTACGATGACCTCATGCTCGTCAAACTCGTCTGGCACAAAGAAGATTGCGCGACGTAGTTCCTTCATTTTCATACTTTCCTACTTCTTCAATCTCGCCCGCCCATCACAAGACAGATGCGAAGGGCGGGCAAGTGGTTAATATTGGTTACGCATCGAACTCATTGCCCCCGCCATCGCCCGAAGGCTGCTGGGTGCCGGAGGTGTTGCCGGGGTTGGATGGGGTCTCGGGGGCAGGAGTCTCGGGGATGGTGCCGCTCACCTCCTCGCTCTCGGTGGCCGATGTGCCGATCATCTGGGTGCGGACGCGGTTGATGTACGAATTGGCCTGAGCCACGGCATCGGTCAACGCCTGCGATGGCTCATAGACAAGGGCAGCGTTGAGGATGGTCTCGCAGCGGTCGTAGGCGGCGTCGATGTCGGCGCGGTCGGCCTTGACCAGTCCGAGCTGCAGGGTGGCACGCTCGTCGTCGCGGCGGGTGAGGAGGCCCGAGAGGGTGGCGGTCTGAGCCACTACGGTAGTCCAATGGCCGAGCACGCCGAGCTGCTGGAGGGTGGTGTCGCCGATGGCGCTGATCTCCTGGGCGAGCTGCTTGATGAGCGACGATTCCTCGTCCATCTGTGCGCGGACGTCGATGTCGTAGCGCTTGATGAGCTTGTTCAGACGGATAGCCTCGGGCACTTCGGCTTCGGCCTGTGCGCGGATGATGGCGGCGAAGGTCTGGTAGGCCTTGTCGCGCTTCTGGTCGGCTTCGGTGATCTGCGCGGTGATGTCGCTGCCCTGCTGCTGCTTGAAGTCCTGGTCGAGCTTCTGGACGGCGGTGGTGAGGGCGGCTACGGCTGGGTTCCAGTCGCGGTGGGTGATTGACTTGATGGCGGCGAAACGGTCGGCCATCTGCTGCATTACGTCGAGGTACTGCGCGTTGCGGAGTCCTGACTTCTTGAAAGTGTTGATCATAATGTTTCTTGTAAAAATGGTTTGGTTTTGTATTTTATTTGTCGGTGGCCGTCAGCCGTGGCTGAAAGGTACATGCAGCGGATGTAATGGCTGTCAGCCGCGGCGAAAGGCATTACATTTGGCGCGAGAGGGAATTTCCCGTGGCGGAAGGGCACTACGAGCGCTGCATGGTGCTGTCAGCCGCGGCGAAAGGCGTTACATTTGGCGCGGCGGGGTTTCGACTGGAGTCGATGGTGTTATTCGATGATGAAACCAGCATTCGGATTCGGCATCGTCTGTATTATCTTGCCGCGCGTGTCAAGCGAACGGAAGTCCCAACCGCGCTGCGTTGCGCTTTGCTCGAACTTGGGCAAGCGGTCGGTGTGCTCGTTGTAGTATATCATGTGGCGCTCGCCCTGGTCTGGGTTAATGCTGCCTAAGATGTAACCATTCCGTTTCGCATATCGTCGCACATGCACATCGTAACATGAATACTGTACTCCAGCATAAAAGTGCGTGGGTAGGTTCGACACGGGCACGAAGTCCAGCTGATAGCGGCGGCGCTCGGTCTCGATCAACTCCTTTCGCTCCTTGCTCTTGCGGCGTAAGGTGGCGCGATACTTGCGAGGATTTATTTCCTTCAGTCTCGTCATCGGATGAAAGCCATCGGCACGCTTGCGCCGTGCGGCCTCACGGCATTGCTCGCTTGGCTGCTTGCCTTTGATGCTTGCGTAGTAGCCGTTCTTGCGGCAGATGGCCTTGACTTGCTTGGCGTGCTTCCTCAGTATCACTGCGCGGTCTTTGGTCAGGCCAAGTTCCTGTGCGAAGCGGTGCAATGTGGAGTGCGAGAGGCCGAACCACTCCATCAACTGCGGATTCATCGTGACGGGATACAGCTCACGGAACTTTGCCTCAAGCTCAGGCGTAAGATAATACTCAGCCTTGTCGGGCCGCCTGTCGTTCGGGCGACGCGGCACGGGATAGCGCACCTTGCTTTCGTCCGTCGGCTTCGTGGGTGTCTTTGTGTTTGGGAAGCTCATGCTTTCGCTATTGTCATAACAGTTAAGCTCCACCCCGCGAACAATATCATGCTCGCGGGGCAAAGAGACAGAGTTTAGAAGTCGGTGAGTACCATTGGCATGAGGAGCATCAGTACTCTGCGTTGATACCACTGCTTGACTACGGCCTTGCTGGCATCGTTCATGTTCATCTGCACTTCAGAAGATGGCATGTTGCTGATGCACTCAATGAGACGGTCGGCACGGAAACCGATGGCGAGAGGCGCATTGATGTGTGCCGACGCATCGGAGAGTGGTGTGGCGGTATGCGCCGACTTGGAGAAATCCACGTCGGTGGTTGACATACGCGCGGTGGCATCGCCAGGCGTGAAGTCGATGCGGATCTGGTTGGTGGCGGCATTGGCACAGATGCTCACGCGACGCACAGCCGAGAGGAACGTCTTGGCAGCAAAGGTGGTGTGCATGGCAAACGACTTTGGCAGCACGGCGGCATAGCGCGGGAAGCGACCCTCGGTGAGCGAGGCTTCAAGACGGAAGTTGGCCGTGGTGAAGATGACGAACTTGTCGGTGGCAATGACGGTCAGCTCCTCCTCTGCCTTGCCGATGCACGAGCGGAGCGCATCGAGCGCAGGCTTTGGCACGTTGACCGACGTATTGCCCACCGAGGCAGTGATGCCTGCCAGCGTGCGCAGGTAGAGGCACTTCGAGTCGGTGGCCACGACGTCGAGACCACCTTCGGTAAAGTTGAGATGCACCGAAGCCATGATAGGACGGAGCGTGTCGTTGCCCACGAAGAGACGCGCGGCCACGATGCTTGGCAGGAACTGAGCCACGGGCAGGGTGGCGCGGAAGTTCTCCTTGCCGACGGTGGTCTGCGGGTACTGCGACGGGTCAACGTACTGGATGGTGAAGGTGCCCTCGCCGTAGTCGATGACGAGCTTGTTGCCCTGATTGCCTGGGCCGATATGCTTGCCGGTGGTGAAGGTCATCGGGAAGATGCTGTCGGTCACGGCCGAGGTGATCTGCTTGAGCTCGCCGTATGCGATGCAGAATGGGTGGAAGTCCTCGACGGCATCGAGGGGCAGCACCATGTGGAGCGCCTGACCCTCCTTGCTGGCGGTGGCGATATAGTGGCCATCGGCCTCGTGGAAGAAGACGTTCTGACGGATAGGCATCGGGTCCTTGGAGTCGATGCACATGCCGAGCGAGCTGAGAGCCGAGGAAAGGACTTGTGCTGAGATCTGGAAAGTCATTTCAGTGTGGAGTTAGGAGTTAGGAGTCAGGAGATATTACCAAGGCGCATTGCCCTGCTGTGGAGCTGCGCCCTGCTGTGGCTGCTCGCGCCAGATGCGTGCGATGCGGATGTCTGTGCGCTGATACTGCGTGTTGATGCTGTAGTGGATGTCGGCCATCACCATCTCGCCCACCTGAAGGTTGAGGTTGGCGGTCTCCTGAGCGGCATTGTTGATGAGCTTGTCAAACACGAGCTCGTCGAAGTCGCGCTTCTCGGTTGCACCCGTCATCTGATCGACGATGACGAAACGTGAGGTCTGACCTACCTTCAAGGTTACTGGCAGCTGCAGGTAAGTGCCTGTGCCATCCTTCTTCTGCTCCTGGGTAAACTGACCAAGAGACTTGACTTGTACTTTCTGAATCATAATTCGTAAAAGATTAAATTGTTAATATATGAAGTAAACAGTTATATGCTATCGGTCAGAATGGTACTGCCTCGCCGTTGGGATTGTCGAAAAGGCTGTTGCCCGACATATTCACGCTGCCATTGACAGGTGCTGCCTGCGGGGCAGGAGAGGGGGGCGGCGGGGGAGGATGGGGCTGGCGCGGCACCTGAGCGCTCCATCGCGATCTCGTATGACGACTTGCCGCGCCGACGGGCGATGTACTCGTTCCACTCCTGACGCTCCTCGGCGCTGACGGTGACGGGATTGCCCACCTCGTCAAGCACAGGTTCGGGGTCGGGGCGATCCCAGAAGCGGATAAACTCGGCCTCGACCTCACCGTAGGTCTTCGGTACCTTGTCGATGGGGTAGAAGACCACGGCCTTGCGCGAGAGTGTAAGCTCACGCACAACCTTGAGGCGACCGTCCCAGAGCTTCGGGTCATCGAAGTATCGCTTCTTGACCCAGCAGCGGATGGTGAGCGAGTGGCGCTGGCGGTCGGTGCTCGAACGGTATGCCACCTCGGGCATATACACCAGGTCATTGTTCTGGCAGTAGGTCTGCAGTCGCTGTGTGAAGGCCTTGGGCGAGAACTTGTTCTGCTTGTCCTCCGAGCTGTCGGAGAGTTCGATGTAGTCCTGAAAGATGGTCTGGAAGTCGATAGGCACGCCAAGGTTATAGGGCTTGGAGAAGAAGTCGCTTGCCCAATCGAAGAACGAGTCGCCGAGCGCGGTGCGCAGATTGCGCTCCTTCAGGTTGCGGGCAGGAGCAAGTATCTTGTCCTTTACACCCATGACGAACTGCACGGCAAGGGCACAGACATAGATGATCTGCGATCGGTCCTGCGCGGTGAGGTATTCGGCCTTGGTCGAGAAGTCGGGCATGACGGTATCGAAGCCGCGCTGCACGAGATTGAGGTTCTCATTCTCGCGGTGGAAGTAGTGCGAGAAACCGCAGAGGTTCAGGCGGCCTGCGCTTGAGTCGTCCATGCCGTCCTTGATGGCATAGTTCGATGTGATGACGATGGCAGGAGCCTCGTCGGAGTGTACGACGGTCTCGTTGGTGTGGAACTTACGGAACTCAAAGTTGCCGGTCACGTAGTTATAGAAGCGCTTGATGTCGCGCTCGTAGTCCTCGACATGCACGATGTCGTGATAGCCAGGACGGAAGGCGTTGAATACAACGGAGGTCTCTATGTCGTCACGCGAGTTGAGCTTCTTACTATCTACGCTCAGCACATTGCGCACACAAGCAATGAAGGTATTGACCAGCATCGACTTGCCCGAACCACCCTGCGCAACACCCTCCGAGCTGACGGCATTCTCCATCATGTAGTGCAGGAAGTTAGGCGTGCGGTAACGATAGACGATACGACCGATGGTGCTGAGCAGGTTGATGATACGACCGTTAAGGAACTGCTGTTGCTCGGCGCTGAAATGATGGCCTTCGTACTCCAGCTCCTCTTCTTCTTCCCATTCCTCGTTGGCATAACAGCGGATGACCTTCATAAACGGCCACCATCCATGCCAGTCGGTTTCAGTCGGATCAAAGCACCAGCGGTTCAGGCGAGCCCAATCGTACAGCTCGCGGTTCTGGCGGGCGCGCTCCTTGGGCGAGAGGTTGGCATCGGCAATCGCCTGGCGTCGGGTGGCATACTCGGGGTTCTCAAAAAGACGGAAGGGTGCAATGCCCTCGGCAACCTGCTCGGTATAGTCCCAAGGCAGGATGGCAGGCGCATCGACAAAGAATCCGAGACGGTCGTATGGCACCAGCTCAATCTTCTCGGGTGTGATGCGCAAGGCACCGTTACGGAAGAAGAAATGGTCGATGTGCGGACCGTAGCCCTGTCGGCGGTCGAGGGTGATGACTGGAAGGTCGCTGGCAGTAGATGCAGAGAGTGTCTTGGCGGTGCGGATGGCCTGCGACATCTTGGCGAAGTCCTGCGTGCCGAACTTGGCCTTCGATCGGGCATAGTCGGTAAGCACCTCCAGGCACTTGCTCATCAGCGACTCGCGGTTGAGCTCATCGACGATGTTGCCCGTCACCTTATAGTAGCGGCCTACCTTGTCGGGCTGCGTGGGGTCGATGACGCGCACATATCCACGACTCTGCATCAGCAGCCACGCAGAGCGTATCTGGAGCTGGAAGTTGTAGTCCTTCTCGTTGCCCGTCTTCTTGTCGATGGTGGCGGTGCGTAGGAAGGGGTCGATGGTAAGCGAGCCTGCCATCAGGTCGAAGAGCATACTCGCCTTGCTACCCTGATACTTGACGCGCTCGTCGTTGCTGAGCTCGTAGCGATGGGTAAAGTCGTGCAGCGTGACGATGCCATCGGCCAGCTGCGGCATAGACATGAACAGGACGGTGGAATGGCGGTTGCAGATAGCGAAGGCGCGCTGGCAGGCCTGAAAGTCGGTGCCTGGCGAAACGATAAGAGATATCGCTACCTGCTTGAGCCGTGTGACAGGCTTGTCGAACTTCCTCGGGTTGGAGAGGAAGGCAAAGTGCAGGTAGTCAGGCACAGCCTTGTCGCTGCCCTCCACCCTGCGACGGGCACGGGCGGCAAGCATCGAATGGGCAGCGATAGCGTCGAAGGGTGAGTCGGCAATCACTACCGTGTTGGCACGCCACTGGTCGGCATCGAGCATCTGCACAGCTCCGTCATCGTCTATCGTAGTATTATGGCACTCCTCGTTGCTACGGCATTGCTGCAGGCACTCCTTCACGCTGAGCTGTGTGGTGGTGGCAAGTCGCACGAAGCTGTCGCCCACCACGGCGGGGCGCAGCTTACCCTTGTTGACCCACACCACACGCTCGTCGGGGTTCTCGGCCAACGGACGCAGCGTCACCTCTCCCTGAATAGAGAGGGAGGGAAACGACGGGGTGGAGTCGGGGAGCTCCCGAGCACCCCAGTCGCGCTCAAGGTCGATATATGGAAGCAGTGGTATCAACGCAGAGTACTGTTTCTGAAATCATCGGGGAGAAAAATCTGACACAGGAAACACGAAAAAGATGATAGCGGAGATTATTGCTGATCGGCAGACTTGCCGTGCATCATAATATCGAGCATAGCCTTAACGGTGCAGACGTTGTAGATGGTGCGCCGGCAGTCGTAGAGCGGGTCATGCTTGCTGCCCTTCGGCGCATCGTCCTGCGGGATGTCCTCGTACTGCTTCTTGCCTGGCTTGCGGCCGAAGATAGACGCAAGGCCTTCGAGTACGAACGAACGGGCGTCGCACGCCTCGAAGTATTTCCAGGGCAGATCCTTCTCGGCAATGCCAAGTACGCGCGAGGTGCAATAGCGCAGCTTTGGTATGTCGAAGTCGGTGCCCTGCGACCAGATACGCACCTCGTCGGCATTGAGTTCCTGCTTCATGCCTGCGATATACTGCACAAGGCCTTCGATGGCCTCACGGACAGATACGTGCTGCTGCATCATGAGATGAGCCTTGGCCTCGTCGCTCTGTCGCGCCCAGAAGTCCACGGTGTCCTGATCGAAGTGCAGGCCTGCCATCACGCACGATGTGGCATCGACCACGGCAAGATAGTTGGTCGATCCGATGCAGCTCTCCTTGAAACGGGCATCGGGCTTGTCGCTGTCGATTACAAATGGGACACAAGCCACTGAGAGGATGGCTGCACGCTCATCGAGCGCAGCGGTCTCAAAATCTATGCAAAAATGTAGGATATTCATATCTATTCTTCTTTATATGTCTGATCTTTTAAGTTAAGCATCGCATACCAGCCTCGCGAGCCCTTGGGTATCTTGGGTCGCCACGGCGTAAAGCGCGTCACTGGCATACCAGCGTCCGTATCGTCATAATAGAGACGAGGCACGTAGCCACGGGCGATGACGAGCGAGCGAAACATCTGCATCAGGTTGGTCAGCTCGTCGGCCAGCGTAAGGGCAGGGTATGGGTGCTCGAATACGATGGTGTGGCAGGTGTCGATATATCCGCGCCTTCCGTCGCGTATGCTCTCGTATAGCTCTATATGTCTCACCATGCGCGTCGATACCATTGCGCGGCATATCATCACCAGGTCGGCAGCCCACACACATTTTACATATATATAATACGAGCGCTCCACGTCGTCGTATGCCAGCATATAGTGAGCTACGGGGCGGCTGGTCACTGGCAAGCCGATGGGCAAGGGGCGGTAGGGCAGTGGTCCTGTGTAAGGCTCGGGCGTGGGAGCTATCTGATCGTGCGAAGGGCAGCGATTAGCGGGGGCTGCACTGTCCCAGACGAGGTGCGTAGTGTGACCGTGGGTGATGGGGCATTTCATACGCGCTCGTCCTTTATGGCGAAGACCAGCTCAGGCATACCAGCCACGCCTACCTTGTGATAGATGTTCTTGAGCGAGCCTCGCACGGCATCGAGCGTGGTCTGCATAACGTCGGCTATCACCTCTGGCCGGCAGGCTCCGTGCTGCACCAGCCTGACGATGCGCTTCTCCTGCTCGGTCAGGCGGTACTCGCGACGCATACCGCAGATACACGACTGCATCTGTTCGTTACGCTCGCTGTAGCCGCAGTAGGGGCAATGGTGACGCTCGCGGCAACCGCGAGGCTCCTCGGGGTGAAAACACTTGCCATCCCAATCAGGTTGCCCATCAAGCTCGCCAAAGCAGCAGGCGCATATCGTCCACGCCACGCGCTGCACATAAAGACGTCGGTTAGTGCGCATAGCCTTCCAGGTCTGCGGCTCTCGCTGTGCGATACGTTGCTCTATGGCGCGGATGGCCGACGGATAGCGAGTGCCGAATTCCTTGATCAAGTCCTCTCCGAAGGCATACCCTTCGGCAGAAGACAGCGACATCTCTGTCCGCAAGTCGAGGTTGCGCACAAGCACGTCGCCATCAGGCGTAAGGTAAGATTCAAACTTAGGAAGGCTCATCTGTGGATTAGTTAGGAGTTAGGAGTCAGGAGTCAGGAGTCAGGAGTGAGGAGTTGTTGGCGGTGTCGAAGGTCTCGAAGATGCGTCGGACTCCGTAGAGTTCCCACGGCTGGAAGAGTGCCGAGTTGTGGAAGTGGCTTGTAACGGATGTGGTAGAAAGTCCGCGCTCGTACATGTAGTCGAAGAAGCCTTTCTTCTTAGGCAATGCCTCGTAGTAGCGGCCTACGATGTCGCGCACATCGTCGATAGGCGTATCGAGCGTCACCTTCTCGGCTTCGGCCACGATGCCTGCCACCTCCGGATAGCCAGATTCAAAGGTCTGGATGCAACCGATAATACCAGTAAGCTCCCACTCGCGGAATCCGTCACGGAAGAATCGGTTACGGCAAGTCGCCTCCGAAAGCCCATAAGGCTCAAAATGGCTGAAAACGCAGCGCTTCTCATCGGCAGTAAAATCCTTAGAACTGCCAATCTGGGCGGTTTTGAGCAAAAACTTGACTTTTTCTTTCAGGTTTTCTTGCATAATATATTTTTTATTTTTAATTTTGCCGTGCAAAGATATAGTAAAGCCGCGAAATACGCAAGCAATATCGGCAATATTTTTTATTTTTAACAAATATAATACCGTTTTTATATGGCAAACCAGCCAAAACAGCCACGGAAATGGCAACGCAAGCTCCGTCTGTCGTTCGATCATCAGGCGATGCCGGAGATATTAAAAGACAATCCCATCTCCAAGTTTATGATGGCGCGCGAGGGGTTCAAGTCGAGCAACTGCGAACGTGCCACCAAGTTTATGCGCGGTGCTTCAACCGACATGGAAGACATACTGCGTGTATGTGCCAAGTTCGACATAGACCTGGCTCAGTTCCTGCTGCTGCCCGATGGCACGCACCCCATCATACTTGCCAAGATGCCTGAAAATGCCGAGCCGCAGAACGTGCCAGACAAACCTACCGAAGATGTAAACGAGAAGGGAACTGACCCGATAGCCACACCGCAGACAGAGCCTATAGACGAAGACCGCATCAACAACAGCAATGCCTCAGAGCTTATCGCCCTTATCGGCACAATGGGCAAAGACCTTGCCGCTGCCAACCTGAAGATACACAAACAATACGAGCGCATCGTGGAGCTGACGGCGCAGGTAGCACGGCTACAGGCAGAGGCAGCACGTGTGATGACTGCACAACGACCAGTGCAGCGCGGCATGGTGAGCGACGAGAGCGAGATGTCCTATAGCCGATAGCAGAACGCAGACGATGTATCAGCGGTGATCGCCATCGCCCTGCAGCACGGCGCGCTGCTTACGGCTGGCCAGCTTCTCGCCGTTCATGTCCGCAATGTCGCTGAGCTTGTAGCCAAGGGCTTCGGCGGCTACGGCAACACCCCACAGCACATCGCCCAGCTCGTAGGCCATCTCCTTGCGCGCTTCATTGTCGGCTATCACCTCCACCACGCCTGGCACCTCACCACGGCGCACGCTCTTGGCTCGTGCCTTAGCGAGCTTGCCGGTATGGGCGGCGGCAGTCTGTACCGACGATAGCTGTATGTCTGTGTTCGATATCAGCGGGTCGGTCTGATTCGTCGCATTATAGAACTTCTCGTATAGCTCTGCACTTTCTTCCACGATCTCATGAAGGGGATAATCTACGTTCATGCAGGTGTCAAGGCAGGTGCTGAGCGCCTGCTGCTGGTATTCATCAAGAGTCATATTCAGTTAGGAGTTAGGAGTTAGGAGTTAGGAGTTAGGAGTTGTGAAAAGCGTCGTTCATGGCCGCTATTATGTTAGCCACGCCTGTCTGCGATGTGTAGATGCAGCGGCATTCTGGGCACGATGGCATCACATCGGCAGGCTGTATGGTCAGATACGCGCGTATGGCTTCGGCAAAGTCCTTGCACCAGGCACGCAGGGCATCCACGTCGGCAGCATCGTTCTCAATGCGTAGCTTTACGATCTCTGGATTAAGGTCTATGCGCTCTGCGTCGCGCTGGCGGCGCTGTGCGTCAATATCGTCGCCGATGTCGCGGCGCGTCAGGACTACGGGCAGCACCTTGATATTAGGAGCTTCGATGTGATAGACGTAGCGCAGGCGGTCGTTACGCTCGTCGATGTTAGCAATCAGGTCGAGCAAGCCAGCCTCGTCGATGACATACGACAACACGCGCTTGCCATCGCCGGCAAGATAGAGCTGGTCGAAGAGCGCGAAATAGTGGTACCCGCCAAACTGCGTATAGGCCAGCGGTGAGTAGCAGGTCAGATACTTGGCCGCCATAGCATCGTTCACGAAGATGTGCTCCTTGCCAGAGTGCTCGCCCTCACGCTTTGGGCGGGTGGTGTAGGAGCAGATGGTAGGCAAGCCGAACTTCGCCATCTCCTCAGCAATGGTGGTCTTGCCAGAGCCACTCGCGCCGATGATACAAATCAGGGTAATATCGTTCATTATTTATATACATTATTACGGATTGAACACTGCCACTACTTCCACCTCCTCGCCCTTGGTCTGCGCGATGACGAGCGGTTCGCCCGTTGCAGCGACTACGACCATATCGAAGTACACCTCCTGCTGGATGTCTGCAAGGCTCACACCCTCGCGTGCCTGCAACGTGACAATCAGCTCTTCCTCGTGTGTCAGGTCACTGCCCTTCTCCTTGCGCCGCTTGGCAAGCATGTCGAGCTCTGCGCGTGCAATGGCTTCGGTGGTCAGATGGTTGGTAAACTTATAGGTGGCATAGAGCGACACACCACGCAGAAAGCGCTTGAACGACTCCTGACTGCCCGCAAACTGCGCCGCACAGGAATGGGCGATAAGCACGCGGTGCGACTTGATGACAACCGAGAGAAGTCCGTTATTCTCCAGTTCTTCGAGATAGGAAAGGATGTCAGCCTCACGCTCGTACTTGGAGAGTGCAATACCAGACTTGCGCGGCTTGCGGCTGAAGATATTCTTAAAGAATGCAAACATTATTTGTTGGTCTTGAAATATACTTCATCAATAGAAATTATTAAATAGTCTCGCACGATGCGGATCTCGCCGCTCTCTACGTACTTCACCTTGCGCTGGTGCTTCTGACCATCGACGGTGAGCGTGACTACACGGCCGGCCTCAGTCTTGCCATCGCGAGTAATGAAGCGGATGAAGAACGGTTTCCGCTGCTTGTTTACTGCCGATGGGGGAGGGTTGAAACCCTCGTATGTAGAACCGTCGGAAGGGTCCTGCCAAGTGAACTTCTCGGCAAAGTTTCGGATGAGCGTCCAGGAAAGAGGAGAGTGGTTCGGGTGGCGCATATTTTTTACGGATTACTTGTTACTGTGTTCGGATTGGCTGTAAACTGCGGTTGATGGCTCATTCATCAAAGTCGAGGGTGAGATCTTGACGTTCGCGGTCAATGCGCTGCTGTGCTCGGTCGAAGTATTCCTTGTTCAGCTCGAAGCCGATGAAGTGGCGATGCTCCTTGATGCAGGCGATGGCGGTGGTGCCAGAGCCCATGCAGTTGTCGAGGATTAGCCCCCCCTATTGGTGTAGGTGAGGACGAGGTAGCGAAGGAGGTCAACGGGCTTTTGCGTGGGGTGGAATTGCTCTGCGTCATGCTCTTTCGGAACTTTGATAATACTCTGCGGAAACTTTTTGTTCATGTCTCGTGGTTCGTATGTCTCAATACGATGGACGTTACCGTAGCATTGGTTGGTAGTCTTATGAATACCGTAGCCTTGCGGATGAGAAGGCTCGCGTCCGTTCAAATCCTCCATCTGAGCATTGTAAGTTGGCAAACTACGATAGAACACAACAATATCTTCATGGCATCGAAGCGGCATCTTTGAAGCGTTGAGAAAGCCAGTCGCGCGGTCTTTGTGCCAAATAAGATTGTATCGCCAAATGTCGGGCTGACTCATCATAAGCTGCGCCGTAAACATACCTTGTGCAAACAGGATGATTGCTGCATTTTGTTTAGCCACACGAAGGTATTGCTCCCAAAGAGGCTCAAACGGAATAATGCAATCCCACTGCGTATGTTTGTTGCTTTTGTTTAGGCATCCATACGGCAAATCGCAGATAATAGCATCCACGCTCCCGTCAGGGATCATCTTCATCCCTTCGAGGCAGTCCATGTTGTATATCGTATCGAGTTCAAGCATACTATTACTCCGCTTTCACGCCCTCCAGTGCCTTCTGATACTCCTCTGCAGAAATTTCTTCAAGTCCCTCGGCCGTCGCTTCTTCGCGAACATTGATATAAACTCGGTCATCGTACTCGAAGGTGGCAGGGCGCTCAGGCTGAGACGTAGGAGAAAGGGCAGCACCGAGAAGGCGGTGAGTATCGCCGAACTTGATGACGGGCAGGAAATACAGGCGGCGGGCGAGCTCGATGACGTTACGCTGGTCGATCTCGTTCAAGCATGAGCCAGGCACGATTTCGAGCACGATGCTCCAGTCGGTATCTTCCAGCGCATTGACAGCCGCTGCCAGCTCCGCACGGCTCTTTTCGAGCTGCTGTGCCTCGCCAGCTGTAATATGTGGGAACATATTGCGGAAGTCGGCCTTAGTCTTGAGCGAGGCATACATCTTGTTCCACTCTGCCTCGGCATCACGGCCACGCTTGGCTGCTTCCTCCTTGGCATGATAGTAACGGAACTTCAGGATAGAAAACTCATTCGGAGTCTTAGGCTTATGACCAAGACCCTCCTTGATGATCTCCGTGCGAGACATCATGTTGATGACCGATGCCAGGCGCAGCTTACCCTGCGAGATAATCACGTCGTCGCGTCGGCGCATACGCTGCGCCTTCTCGTAGCGCATGGCATGCTCATCCATCTTCACGTTGAGCACAAAGTAAGGTGTGCCGTTGGCGGCAAGGATAGGATTCTGATCATCGCCCAACACAGGCAGGAATGGTTTTGACTTGGGGAAGATGTACTTATGTGCCTCCTGTGGAGAGAATACGAAGGCCTGGATGCCGCCGTAGTCCGACTCGGAAGGTACGTAGGTGTCTGCGCCTATCTGCTTGGCAAGTTCGGCAGCGGCATTCTCTGCTGCAATGCCCTCGCGCTGCAAGGTGACGAGGCTCTGGCGCAACTGCTGGCCTTCGTCGGTAAGGGTAGTTCGGTAGTAGTGCATATTATTATTGCTAAAAATGCTTGCTTATTCGGCTGCAAAGATAAACAGAATTTCCGAAAAAGCAAGCGTTTTGGGCAATAATTTTAATTTTTAATTTTGATTTTTGCCAAAAAGTGACAAAATCTTATTAAAAGCGCGAGCTGAAAGGGTCATATCATCGCCATTGTCGCAAGAAATGCAGACTTTCTCGGTGTGATCAATCTCGCGGTAGAGACGGACGGTATAATGTCCGTCTGGGCAGGTAAAATGTCTTACGGTAGTCATAACGGTTTATATTTTGTTAGAATTGTATTCAAACGGGCTACTTCCAGTAGAAATAGCCCTTCTTGCCTTTATATTTGATAAGGGCGTTCTTTCGGCATCCTGTACTGCGGAATGAGACGTGGACCCATCCGCACTGACCAGTGGCAACGTCATACTCCTCGGCAATGATCTGGTCGTATGGGAAGAGCGTGCGCAGGGTGTGGTAGAGCCGCATATTGTCAGATGCCTTGCTGGCTCGGATGTCTGCTGCCTCGCCCTTCATGTGCTGCGATGCCGTTGCGCCCTTGACTGCGGCATTGAGTGCAGGGCTGCGGTAGCCGCTGTTGACGAGGATAGGACCACCCCAATGCTTGCGGAGAGGTTCGAGCACGTTGACACAAAGAGCAGTGAGAGCCACGATCTCGGCAGACGATGGAGTATTATTGATATGAAGACGCTTGGCAGTAGCACTATCTGTCAGTTCTTCCAAAGTGAAGTGTTCTGTGATACGCATAGTGGGGAGAATATGATAAGTTAGGAGTAAGGATTGACCGATTACTGATCGTTTGTTTCTTCCATCGAGAGCCTTTGCGTCTCGTCTGGCTTAGGCTCACGGTTAGAACAATCGACACGATTGCATCGGTAGATGCTGTTAAGGATTACTCGACGTTCCAGGTTGTTCATCTGCCGGCGCATGTCAGACATCTCCTTGCGAAGCTCATCAATCTTCTCGTCCTTCTTACGAGAATCCTCTTCCTTCTTGCGCGAGTCCTCCTGAGAGTCGAGGTAGAGCTTTCGCCACTCCTCACTCTGCTTTGCCTCATTATCAATGTCTTTACTACGTTTCTCCTGCTTGTAGAACAAGAAGGTGCCGCCCCACGTAGCCAGGGCTGTGATAAGCATCGTCAGCAGATTGCCGAGATTGAAAAGAGCTTCCATTTCGTTGGTCAGAATAAGTGTTATTATTTCTGACACAAAGGTACGCAATCTTTCCGTCTCGTCTGTGACCAAATAGTACTCTGCGTTGATACCACTGCTTCACAAGGGGCAGCAAATGGTGAGGGTGAATTATTATTTATGTCAGATATACTGCTCCCAATCGATCTCAATCTCCTTGCCGATGATGTCAGACAGCCAGCGGGCGAAGGTCATGCCCTCGTAGCCGTCTGGGTCTTGGGCGGCCTTATAGGTACGCTTGATTACGTCGGTCTCGGTCTTGAGGTAGTCGGGATACTCGTCTGAGTAGTACCAGTTGGCAAGGAAGGCTGCATCGCCCCATGTCATGTGCAAGGGGTTATTCTTCATACCGCCGCCTCCATTACGGACTGCACCTGAGCGGTGGTCCAGTGGTGCGTGGTGCCGTCGGCATTCGTCAGATGATGCTTGGTAACGTAGTCGGCGAGGGCAGCGGTGAAGTGATATCCGTTCTTCTGCACGTACTTGATATACGGCTCTGCCTTCATGAACATGTTGGCAAACTTCTCCCAAGGCAATGCGTCGGCGGCTTCGCGGCTGACGTGAACGTCGTGCGAGCCGTCGGCATTTTTGTAGGAGAGTATGTTGAGCTTTGTAAAAGTATTCATATTCGGTCTTGATTTATGACTCACAGAGTGCAAGTAAGTGGAAGTGATTTTAATTACTCTATTAACTCTGTTTACTTCATGTGATATTGTTTTCGCGCATGGAGTGAGTGGAGTAAAAGGAGTTTATTTCTTTGATACACTCTGTTTGCTCTGCGAGAGATTATTATTTTGATTCGAGCAACTTGAGGATGCGATCCATCTTGCCGTCGCTCTCGGTGTGGTTCTTCTGAAGGGTGACAAGTGCGTTCTCAATCTTTGTGATGCGCTCGTCCGTCTCGCGTTGTTGCTTGACTGCAGGGTTCCAGTCCTCGATGATTGACTTGCATTTGCTGACCGTCTGTTTTCGAAGTTCGGTCTGCTTGAGCTCTTCTTCGTTGCGAGAACAGATGGCTTCTACTTCATGCAGGATGTCGGCGCGGTCGCAGGAGAGGACAAGGGTGTCGGTGTAGGCTATGGTGGAGCCTTCGGACATGACAAAGCTGGTCTGCTTGCCGTCTATCTCTACGGTCACGTCGATGACCATGGTGGTGGATGATGGGTTGCGACTATCGAAATGCGGACGGCTTACATCGACGATCTTGCCTTGAGTGACAGCGATCTCGTTGCGGTTAAGGATGAAGATGGGGTAGCCCTTCTGGCAGTCTTTTAAAAGCATAACGGTGAGGAGTTAGGAGTTGGAAGTTATGAGTTTGGAATAAAAGGCAAGGGGAGAGCGCGTGTCCTGACGGCCTTCGCAAGGCATGTGCGATGCATCCCCTTGCCTGAAAACTGAAGGTGACGGATGCTTACGCGATGACCGCTGTGAGCGTGGTGGTAATCTTTACGCCACGGGCTGCGCAACATCCGCGATATGCTGGCTCTACGGTGGTGTTCGTACCCTTATCGATGGTGATGGTTCCACCAGGGGTAGATGGGAATGCCACGTCAAAGCACTCGGTGAAGATCTGCGGTGTGGCACATCCGCACATCTGGCACTTAGGAGTCATGGTCGATACCTTGGCGGTTACGGTAGCGTATGCCACGGTGTTGATGATGCGGGTCGGGCCTACATCGAAGCTGACTTCTGCGGTAGGCTGCACACTGGCGTTGGGGCAATATTTGCGGCAGAGATGCTCGGTGATCTCTACAAGGTACACCTCTGTTCCAGTCGTGACGGGATGGATAACATGGGTCTGTATCATAGTAAATGTAAAATTTAGAATGTAAAATGTAAAATTTCTGCGGAGAAACGTAATATTGTGTGCAGAAAATGTACAAATAATAGAGGGAAGGTCAAGAGTGATAACTTGGTCATCTGCTTTGTGTTAGATGCTGATTCTTGCAAATCTTGTAAGAAGTTGAAAGAAATGTCAGCAACCTGGCGTGTGACATTACCACTCCTGACCTGAGAGGATGGGTTAGGCTGCGCCGCAGTCGCAACAACCGTTCTTCTTCACGCCAGCGATGATGTTGGCAGCGAGGAGCTCACGATCCTTGGCAGCGAGCTGGTCGCGGAGTGCCTGGGTGGTATTGTCGCACATCTTGTCGAGGATACGCTGGGTGTTGCGGTCGTCGTTGAGCATGATCTCGCCCTTCTGCTGTGCCAAGATGTAGCCGAGGTCAGAGAAGCCCTTCTGGAGACCGTTGGCGATGCCGGTGAGACGCTCGTTGAGCGTGTAGGTCTGGTCCTTCATGCCCAGCTGAGTCTCGTAGCCCATGCGCTGGATGAGCTCCTTCGACTGGCAGCAGCAGTCCTTGAAGGTGGCCTGCAGATCCTTGTCGCCCATGAGGCTTGCGTTGATGATACGCTCACCGGTGAACTTGACATCGCCCTGCAAGCCCTGGATGCCTGCCTTGATGTCGCCGCCCTGCTGCTGGATAGCAGAGCGAACATCGCAGATACCTGCTTGAATGGCTCGAAGGTCAACCCCCATGTTGGTAGCCAGCTCACCGATGCGAGCATAGTTGCCACGGGCGAGGTCGGCCAGGATGTCGGTGTTGTGATTGTCAGACATCTGGTTGCTCAGCTGGTTGAAGCGAGCCTGCATCTCGGCGTTGCCGTTGTACTGGTTCTGCCAGTTGTCGCCGTACATGAAGCGCATCATGCCCATCAAGAAGGCATAGGCGAAGGGGTTGTTGCCCCACTGGTTCTGACTTGCCATGAGCCAGGCAGCATCGTTGTTGCCACGGTCATAGCCGCCACAAGGGTAGTCGTGACAATACACCTTCTCGGTAATTACGTTAGTTCCTTCCATAATGTTACTTTTTTAAGTAGTTAAGGTGGTTAGGTTAATAGTTCTCGTGTCAATACCGGTTTTGACGGTGCAAAGATAGGGAGTTTCTGGCAGGCAGAAAAAAAGTTAGCAACACTGTTTTGACTGTGTTGCTAACTCGATGCAAAGTGAATGAACGTTATGTTCAAAAAAAAGAGAAAGTGGGTGTCAGGCTGCGCCTGCACGCGACTGACGAAGGAGAGCATGGGCACGCTGTGCGGTAACGCGATACAAACGGTTGGTATCGTACAGGTCGTGACTCTTAACGAGCATGTGGCGTATGGCTGGCACGGAGCGGTGGAAGATCTGTGCTGGAGTATTGACGGTGAAGCCCGACGATATGAGCAAGTCTATGGCCATGCAGCGTGCCGTGCTGGCGAGCTCGGTGCGCGACGGGCCGAGGATGTCCTCGCGCGTGAGGTTGGCACGTCCGTCTATCTCGACGGCGTTGACAGCCACCACGATGGTGAGGATGGCGTCTATAAGTGCCTGCTTGGGATTATCCATAGTAGCGTACTGGTTTGAGTTACTCGGAATGGGCGGCCACCACGTCGCTGACGATCTCAAGGAATGCCTTTGCGCTGGCCTTGAGCGGCGCGGAACGGAGCCAGTGTGCGTTGGACATGAGCGTCTTCTCCAGTCCCTTGATAGGACGCGCGACGAGGCCTGGATGCTCGTCGGCATAGAGCGACGGCAGGAAGGTGATGAGCTGCATGGGCTGTAGTACCTTGAGCGCGATGTCTGGGACAGGAACGGTACACTGCGGGCGTAGCTGCGAGATGTCGAACGGCGCGAACGACTGAAATGTCGCGAAGACGCGATCTCCCACGTCGGGAAGGAGGATGCGGTAGCTGAGCATGTCATCGTAGGTGATGCACGGCTGCGAGGCAAGCGGGTGGTCGGACGGAATGATGGCAGAGAGATGGAAGGGTATGCAGGGCTGCGATTCTATGCCCTCGTTGGCATAGGCGGTGTTCATGGTGAAGGCAAGATGGATCGCATCCTCAAGTTGCTCGAATCAAAATAATAATCTCTCGCAGAGCAAACAGAGTGTATCAAAGAAATAAACTCCTTTTACTCCACTCACTCCATGCGCGAAAACAATATCACATGAAGTAAACAGAGTTAATAGAGTAATTAAAATCACTTCCACTTACTTGCACTCTGTGAGTCATAAATCAAGACCGAATATGAATACTTTTACAAAGCTCAACATACTCTCCTACAAAAATGCCGACGGCTCGCACGACGTTCACGTCAGCCGCGAAGCCGCCGACGCATTGCCTTGGGAGAAGTTTGCCAACATGTTCATGAAGGCAGAGCCGTATATCAAGTACGTGCAGAAGAACGGATATCACTTCACCGCTGCCCTCGCCGACTACGTTACCAAGCATCATCTGACGAATGCCGACGGCACCACGCACCACTGGACCACCGCTCAGGTGCAGTCCGTAATGGAGGCGGCCGGTATGAAGAATAACCCCTTGCACATGACATGGGGCGATGCAGCCTTCCTTGCCAACTGGTACTACTCAGACGAGTATCCCGACTACCTCAAGACCGAGACCGACGTAATCAAGCGTACCTATAAGGCCGCCCAAGACCCAGACGGCTACGAGGGCATGACCTTCGCCCGCTGGCTGTCTGACATCATCGGCAAGGAGATTGAGATCGATTGGGAGCAGTATATCTGACATAAATAATAATTCACCCTCACCATTTGCTGCCCCTTGTGGGGAGACATCGGGCGGCAATGGCAGAGGTATTTGGTCACAGACGAGACGGAAAGATTGCGTACCTTTGTGTCAGAAATAATAACACTTATTCTGACCAACGAAATGGAAGCTCTTTTCAATCTCGGCAATCTGCTGACGATGCTTATCACAGCCCTGGCTACGTGGGGCGGCACCTTCTTGTTCTACAAGCAGGAGAAACGTAGTAAAGACATTGATAATGAGGCAAAGCAGAGTGAGGAGTGGCGAAAGCTCTACCTCGACTCTCAGGAGGACTCGCGCAAGAAGGAAGAGGATTCTCGTAAGAAGGACGAGAAGATTGATGAGCTTCGCAAGGAGATGTCTGACATGCGCCGGCAGATGAACAACCTGGAACGTCGAGTAATCCTTAACAGCATCTACCGATGCAATCGTGTCGATTGTTCTAACCGTGAGCCTAAGCCAGACGAGACGCAAAGGCTCTCGATGGAAGAACAAACGATCAGTAATCGGTCAATCCTTACTCCTAACTTATCATATTCTCCCCACTATGCGTATCACAGAACACTTCACTTTGGAAGAACTGACAGATAGTGCTACTGCCAAGCGTCTTCATATCAATAATACTCCATCGTCTGCCGAGATCGTGGCTCTCACTGCTCTTTGTGTCAACGTGCTCGAACCTCTCCGCAAGCATTGGGGTGGTCCTATCCTCGTCAACAGCGGCTACCGCAGCCCTGCACTCAATGCCGCAGTCAAGGGCGCAACGGCATCGCAGCACATGAAGGGCGAGGCAGCAGACATCCGAGCCAGCAAGGCATCTGACAATATGCGGCTCTACCACACCCTGCGCACGCTCTTCCCATACGACCAGATCATTGCCGAGGAGTATGACGTTGCCACTGGTCAGTGCGGATGGGTCCACGTCTCATTCCGCAGTACAGGATGCCGAAAGAACGCCCTTATCAAATATAAAGGCAAGAAGGGCTATTTCTACTGGAAGTAGCCCGTTTGAATACAATTCTAACAAAATATAAACCGTTATGACTACCGTAAGACATTTTACCTGCCCAGACGGACATTATACCGTCCGTCTCTACCGCGAGATTGATCACACCGAGAAAGTCTGCATTTCTTGCGACAATGGCGATGATATGACCCTTTCAGCTCGCGCTTTTAATAAGATTTTGTCACTTTTTGGCAAAAATCAAAATTAAAAATTAAAATTATTGCCCAAAAACGCTTGCTTTTTCGGAAATTCTGTTTATCTTTGCAGCCGAATAAGCAAGCATTTTTAGCAATAATAATATGCACTACTACCGAACTACCCTTACCGACGAAGGCCAGCAGTTGCGCCAGAGCCTCGTCACCTTGCAGCGCGAGGGCATTGCAGCAGAGAATGCCGCTGCCGAACTTGCCAAGCAGATAGGCGCAGACACCTACGTACCTTCCGAGTCGGACTACGGCGGCATCCAGGCCTTCGTATTCTCTCCACAGGAGGCACATAAGTACATCTTCCCCAAGTCAAAACCATTCCTGCCTGTGTTGGGCGATGATCAGAATCCTATCCTTGCCGCCAACGGCACACCTTACTTTGTGCTCAACGTGAAGATGGATGAGCATGCCATGCGCTACGAGAAGGCGCAGCGTATGCGCCGACGCGACGACGTGATTATCTCGCAGGGTAAGCTGCGCCTGGCATCGGTCATCAACATGATGTCTCGCACGGAGATCATCAAGGAGGGTCTTGGTCATAAGCCTAAGACTCCGAATGAGTTTTCTATCCTGAAGTTCCGTTACTATCATGCCAAGGAGGAAGCAGCCAAGCGTGGCCGTGATGCCGAGGCAGAGTGGAACAAGATGTATGCCTCGCTCAAGACTAAGGCCGACTTCCGCAATATGTTCCCACATATTACAGCTGGCGAGGCACAGCAGCTCGAAAAGAGCCGTGCGGAGCTGGCAGCGGCTGTCAATGCGCTGGAAGATACCGACTGGAGCATCGTGCTCGAAATCGTGCCTGGCTCATGCTTGAACGAGATCGACCAGCGTAACGTCATCGAGCTCGCCCGCCGCCTGTATTTCCTGCCCGTCATCAAGTTCGGCGATACTCACCGCCTTCTCGGTGCTGCCCTTTCTCCTACGTCTCAGCCTGAGCGCCCTGCCACCTTCGAGTACGATGACCGAGTTTATATCAATGTTCGCGAAGAAGCGACGGCCGAGGGACTTGAAGAAATTTCTGCAGAGGAGTATCAGAAGGCACTGGAGGGCGTGAAAGCGGAGTAATAGTATGCTTGAACTCGATACGATATACAACATGGACTGCCTCGAAGGGATGAAGATGATCCCTGACGGGAGCGTGGATGCTATTATCTGCGATTTGCCGTATGGATGCCTAAACAAAAGCAACAAACATACGCAGTGGGATTGCATTATTCCGTTTGAGCCTCTTTGGGAGCAATACCTTCGTGTGGCTAAACAAAATGCAGCAATCATCCTGTTTGCACAAGGTATGTTTACGGCGCAGCTTATGATGAGTCAGCCCGACATTTGGCGATACAATCTTATTTGGCACAAAGACCGCGCGACTGGCTTTCTCAACGCTTCAAAGATGCCGCTTCGATGCCATGAAGATATTGTTGTGTTCTATCGTAGTTTGCCAACTTACAATGCTCAGATGGAGGATTTGAACGGACGCGAGCCTTCTCATCCGCAAGGCTACGGTATTCATAAGACTACCAACCAATGCTACGGTAACGTCCATCGTATTGAGACATACGAACCACGAGACATGAACAAAAAGTTTCCGCAGAGTATTATCAAAGTTCCGAAAGAGCATGACGCAGAGCAATTCCACCCCACGCAAAAGCCCGTTGACCTCCTTCGCTACCTCGTCCCTCACCTACACCAATAGGGGGGGCTAATCCTCGACAACTGCATGGGCTCTGGCACCACCGCCATCGCCTGCATCAAGGAGCATCGCCACTTCATCGGCTTCGAGCTGAACAAGGAATACTTCGACCGAGCACAGCAGCGCATTGACCGCGAACGTCAAGATCTCACCCTCGACTTTGATGAATGAGCCATCAACCGCAGTTTACAGCCAATCCGAACACAGTAACAAGTAATCCGTAAAAAATATGCGCCACCCGAACCACTCTCCTCTTTCTGGC